TTTGGGTAAGAAAATGGGGTTTTTTGGGGGGAAATGGGGGTTCAGCCCCGTGCTCAAACTCAGCTCGCTGCTCGTGCGCTCCGTGGCCACAGGTGGGCAGGGAAATCCGGGAATTCCAGGAATTCCAGGAATGAAATTAAGGGAAAATTGGGGTTTTCTGTAAAAAAATGGGGGTTTTGTGTAAAAAAATGGGGGTCTTGGGTAAAAAAATGGGGGTCTTGGGTAAAAAAATGGGGTTTTTTTTTCAGGAAATGGGGGTTCAGCCCCGTGGCCACAGGTGGGCAGGGAAAACCTGGAATTTCGTTAATTCTGGGAAAAAAATGGGGAAATGGGATTTCTGTGTAAGAAATGGGGATTTTGTGTTGACAAAAAGGGATTTTTAGTGGAGGGAAAAGGGGTGTGGGCATGGGGGTTCAGCTCAGCTTGGTGCTCATTGCTCCGTGGCCACAGGTGAGTAGGGAAATCCCGGAATTCCGGGAATTTTGGAAAGCTGGGAATGGGAATGGGAGGAAATTTGGGAATTCTGCGGCTGGGAATGGGAGGAAATTTGGGAATTTTGTCCCCCCCTCCCAGACAAGCGCGCCCTGTTCATCATCTGCACCTCGGAGCTGGGACCCCAAATCTACGAGCTGGTGGCGCAGACGTCCTCGGAGAAGAACACGTGAGGGAAATCCTGGAAAATTCCTTGGGAAGGGCTGGAAAAGACCCTGAGGGGTGAAATCCATGGGATGAGAGGGAAAATCCCTGGGAAGGGCTGGAGTTCCTGGCTGGGATGGAGTTCCCAGTTGGAGTTCCCATCTGGAATTCCCATCTGGAGTTCCCGGCTGGAGTTCCCGGCTGGGATGGAGTTCCCACTGGAATTCCCGCTGGAATTGCAGGTGGATGCAGCTGCTGGAGCAGGCCGTCCAAGGGGCCACCAGGAGCCTCCCGGGGCCACCGAAAGAGGAGCAGAGCGAGGCCGGCGGGGACGGAGGCGCCGGGTGGGAGCGGCGGCCGGAGCAGTGGGATGGCGGGAATGGCGGGATGGTGGGAATGGGATCATGGGATCATGGGATCATGGGATCATGGGAATGGGGATGGGGTTGGGAATGGTGGGATCATGGGATCATGGGATCATGGGAATGGGATCATGGCAGTGGGAATGGGGATGGGGTTGGGAATGGTGGGATCATGGGATCATGGGATCATGGGATCATGGGAATGGGAATGGGGTCGGGAATGGTGGGAATGGTGGGATCATGGGATCATGGGAATGGGATCATGGGAATGGGAATGGGGATGGGGTCGGGAATGGTGGGATCATGGGAATGGGAATGGGAATGGGGATGGGGTCGGGAATGGTGGGAATGGTGGGATCATGGGATCATGGGATCATGGGAATGGGATCATGGCAGTGGGAATGGGGATGG